TATCACCTACCTCACAAGGAGGTTTTTAGGAATGAATCAGTGCTTTTAAAGCCTAGCGCAGTGTCAGGCACACAGCAAACGCTCACTAATGCTGCTTGTTAATATTATCGTTAGTATATTTTCCACCCGGGTCGGTGGAGCCGCCCCTGCGCTCCCGGAAGGGTGGGTCACACAACCCAGGCTCCCAGAGCCTCGGCCCGAGGCGCCTGTCCCCACGCAGCCCCTAGAGGGCGCCCGGAACTCACTTGTCCTGGTTTTCTGTGACCAAGTCCCAGGTCTGGCTCCCACTTCTGGGTGGCTCTTGAGTCGCCGCCACCGCCTCCAGCTTTTTGGGTCTTGTGGCTCCTCCCGTAGCAAAAGAATAAATGTGGGTTCTGGGACTACAGGGCGGAAAAAGGGAGGGTCAGGAGCAGCCCCACCAAAGCCTCCCTCTAAGGACGAATACAAAGGAGGTGGGGAGATCACGGGAGGGGGGGTGCTGGCCCCCTCCCCCGCCTCCCCTCACAACCCTCACACCCTTCTCTCACACACAAGGAGGCTGGATTTCCGCAGGCTTGGAGGAGGCAGTGGCAGCAGCTGGATTTTCTGGGCCTTGCTAGCTAGGGTCCTGGCTGGAATCTAGGATGGTCTGCTGTCCCTAAGTCCAGCCTCAGGCACAAGGGGTCCTGTCGCCTGCCAAGCTGCAGGGCTGGAAGCTGAAATAGCGGGAGGAAATCCCCACCCCCCAGGCCCCCAGGAGTTGAGATTGGTCCTCCCACTCCTGGGCTGGGGAGGGGGGAGGAAGGAGGGGTGCCCATAGGGTAACTGCCTTACAGGAGCTGGCCCCAATGGGCATGAGCTTGTGGGAGCAACTGCAAGAGCCAGCAGTGAAGGTCGGGTGTGTACGTGTGTGCCTGGCACTGCACACCTGTAGCTTCTCTTGTGTAACACTGCATACCCTGGATGTTGCAGAGCTGAAAGGGATAGGTGAGGTTGTACACAGCAATGCAGGCTGTAAGGGGGGCGGTGTGAGTTGTACCCACCCCTCAACACAACATTGGTACCCCTTCGCTCCCTTGAAATCACCCTCCCCCACCAGCACCACCCCCACCGCCACCGCCACAGTCATCCCACACACCATCTTTAGCGTCTGCTCTGAGCTCCTTGGAAAACCCGACCTGGCTTCAGCGTTCTCTCACGCAGCCTATTCCTATCAGAGTCCCCAGAATAAGAAATTCTACAGCTGAGGGTGCAGGCGGGGAGGGCTCCCTGGGCCAACCAGGCCAGGGCTGACTGGGGAGCTGGAGGCATTGGACTGGTCATCTGAGCCAGGCAGGAAAAGTGGTGGCAGCTCCTGCCAGTGGCCTAGGCACAGCCTTGCTGTGGGACTCCAAACTCAGCAGATCAGGGAGGGCCGAGGGAGCAGGACTGGGGGGCTGTGTGGGAGTGACACATGTGTGAAAGTGGGTATGAGGGGTGCAGGAGGAGCAAGGTGTAAGGAAGAGGGTGTCTCCTCCTGAGTCTGAGCTAAGGGGCCCTTAGAACAGCTCCAGGGCCACAGCCCAGCTTGGCTGCAGAGCTGCAGCTGTTTGGCCCTGCACAGTCCAGAGGGAGGTCCCTGCTTAGTTGTTTTATGCGCCTGAAACCTACCTTGCCCACCTGCAGGTCACTCACACACTACCAGGGCACCCATCTGAGTTCGGGCCCAGGACAAGCCCCACACCTGCCTCGCAGTGGGGGCGCCACGGGACAGCCAGTGCTCAGGAGGTACCCACAGCCCTCAAGCACACATGCGGCCACACAAAGGTGCTATTATAGTTAACAGGTTGAGCCAGATTCTCCATGTGCCATCCACCGCACAGCACAGGGCCTCTGGGACCCCAGCCCTGACTGGGTTCAGGGGCCCACAGGCAGCCACCCACTCAGCCACAGCACCAGGTCTGAGCAGCAGGGCTCGCTGGTTGGGGAAAATTGGTCAGTGCAGTCGGCTCACTCAAGCCAAGGAAGGAAGCAGGCCTTTCTGCCCAGACAGGTTTGTTAATTCCCTTTCGAACCTCAACCCACAATTATGATTTGTTTCTTTTCCATTTTTGAAGGAAGACTGGTCATTTCCGGTCGGGGCTTGGAAGGTCGGGAGTTTTGAGCTTTCTGTTGCGAGTAGTTGGCCTTGAGCGTGACACTTAGAACCCCACTCCCTTCCAGCCTCCGCCCCACTTTGTGCGGAGTGTGCCGGTCCAGCCGCCCAGGGCAGGCCCAGCGCGGTGCGTCCTTTCTCCGCCGCTGCGGCGCTCGGCGCTCCGCTCGGCGGACGCGGGATTCGTCGAGATTCGGTCCCAACGAATTCCAGGCGGAGAGCGGGGAGTCCTGAGCGGTCCCTCGGTGCCAGGGGTCCCAGCGTCTCCCGGAGTCTGGCACCCATGGGAGGCCTAGCCCAGGGCCTGGGAGTGTCGTGGGGGCCCCCACCCCAAGAGCGCACGACCCGGGGCCGCAGCGAGCGCGGGGAGCCGGCGGGCGGTATCCGGAAAGCTCGGTGGCCGCCTCCTCAGGGCGCCCGGGCCCCAGCGCCGGGAAGATCCAGGCATGTGGAATTCGGGCTCTGCGCGAGTCCCCAACAAGCTGGGCAGGGTCCGAGAGCAGCGGGGCAGAGGGCCTGCATGTGCCCGCACAGTCATGAGGGTGAGCCCTAGGTTGTTCCTGAAGATCCGGGGAGGTAGGAGGTACTTTTGGGAGAGAGAGCGCTGTGCCCAACTTTGCTTGAGTTGTTTCTCAGGAGCGGGTGAAAGCGGGGGTGAGGAGCTCAGACTTTGGAGCCAGTTTCGGGCTGTTGTTGTGTTTGGGCTGGGCGGCCGCTCCCCGCTCCTACCCCAGCTCCTCTGTTAGTCTATAGCCAGAAAACATCCAGGGGCCTCCGGACACCGCAGCCTCTTGAGGCGGGCTCGGGAAATTGGGAGGCGGGAGCAAGGTCCAGTCTCCCCTGAGGTCCTGCGCTCTGGGCCGGTGCAGCTGGGAGCGACTGATTGCGTCCAAAAGACGCAAAGCGAGGAGAGAAACCGCACCCTGCGAAAAAGACACGTACTCGAGGGCTCTAGTCGGGCGGGAATGGAGGGGACAGCCAGACCTGCTTAGGTAGGAGATGAATTCTGAGGTTCTGGGAGGCCATTTCCGGATTTCGCTCTGCCTGGCGCAAGGTGTGGCAGCCACGGGGAGACCTGCCGAAGACCCGCGCTGCGGGCAGAAGCCGCTCCCCACACCCAAGGAGGCCGAGGCACTTGTGGGGCTGGGGCGGGGAGGTCTGCCAAGTCCTTTGAATCGGAACCTTCCTGTCTTGCTGAGGTACAAGGATGACCAAACCCACCCTCACTCAGCCAAATTGCCCCCTGGGCTTCTTTGGATTGGAGGTTGCTGTGCTCTTTGTCCCGGTATCACAACCCCAGATGGCTTCCAGGCAGGAATGAAGGACAGTGGCTCTGATGGTTTGGGTGGCTCCCCCCACCCTTAGTCTCTGTGCACACATCTCTGTAGACCCGTGCAAGCTGCACACCCTACTAACTTCTAGTTTCTAACCACAAAGTTCTCTCACTCTTCCAGAAAAAGCCTCCGATCCCCCCACTCCAACTCACCCTAGGATGGTGAGTTCCCCAGACCACCCACCACCCAGCTTCTTCTAGAAAAGCAGACCCAAGTTAGTTTTGTTGGTCTAGGATTGGTCTAAATAGGTCAGGGACTAGATATTATGGGTGTATGTGTACTGTGCCTGCTGTTCTGCTCCAAAAGTGGTCTGGGGACTCCCTGGAGAAGTCACTTCTTTAGATCCCTGTAGGCCAGACTAGTGCTGGGAAGTCCCACTTAGAGCACTAGAGAGGATCCTCACCCTAATTCCTGATCCAGCATGCCTTAGTCTCTGCAGCTTGCTGGTAGGGGCCTAGAATCCCAGAACTCCTAGCAGATGCTGGTCTGTCCACAATGTATCTGCACTAGACTCCCACCACCACATACACCACCAGTGCACCATTGTACCCACTCACACGCAGCCACACACACTCACTTGTAGGGACAGTCTCTCACAATGATCCACACTCCCCACTACATTTGCTCCCCCAATTATATCCTGTCACACACGAGTAAATACAGTTAAAATGCACAGCTCACACATGATTACATCTCACAATTATACGATTAATGACGATCCACATCATAAACATTCACACATTAAACAAAAAATAGATTTACAAAGAAAAACTAATATGTATGCTCACAAATATTAACATGGTATATGCACAATCACAAAAATGGGTGATCACGAGATTACCCAAAAAGACAGTCACATTCACACACAGTTACATACACACCACTACAAGCCCGTGCATACAGTGACAGTTTCGATTTGCAACTTAAGCAGAAACAAGCGTTTATGTACAAGAATTGCAAACACACTTAAACACCATGACAAACATTCGCTATCAGTAACATCCTGATTGCCCACACAGTCACAAACACGTAATTCTCACACCCAAAGAAATCCACTTCCTCTCAAGCACTAGCAATCCCAGGCTTTCTCTCCTCGACTCTGCCTTCTCTGTTTGTCCTTCTTCTTTCCTCTCTTCAGAGCCTGAGAATCCTGTTCCCCATATGTCCCCCAAGCTCAGGTACTAGCGGCTGCCTCGAAACACCAGCTCACACCAAACCCAAAGAGCTGAAAAATGGTGGCTCGGCAAGGAGCAGGCAGTCCTGACTCCGGATCCGGAGGGTTTTATTATTTTTTCACATAAATTACACAAGCACTTTATAAAATGGTTACACAGAAAACACCTTATAAGTGCATAACTTAACCCCTCCCCCCCAACAGGATCTGGAGAAATGGACTGTGTGGAAACCTGTCTGTGCGTATGTACCTGGGTGCGGCTGGGACATGTGGTGGGGGCCCGGCAGGCCGAGTGAGGCTGTTGTGGCTGTCGTGTGTATGGGGGGGCGCAGTGGCAGTGGTGGTGGTGGTGGTGTGTCACAGTGCGGCCGTGGGAGGAAGTGCCATGCCGTTCTGAATGAGTATGGGTCACCCCGGCCCATGTGTGATAGTGAGGGTCAAGGGTGGGAAGGCTATGACTCTGTGTGTGCATGACACTCTGCCATAAATCCCTGTGTGGTTCTTGGGTGACACCAGGAGGGACAATGACATTGCCTTTGTGTGGGCCTATGGGTGTCCATGTTTGATGAGAAGTGGGACACAGAGAGGGAGTTTCTCAGGGTAAGTTCAGATGGCAGCCCCGGGGACCCCAGAAGCTCTTTCTCCCCCACCTCCCTCACCTCTCTCTCTTGGTCCCACATTAAAAATTAAAATGAAATCGACGCAAACTGAGAAGACTGACAGTTCCAGGAGGGAGTGGGACCACATAGGTGTCTAGGAGGGCGTTGCAGGTCCCTATCCTGAACACCCTTCCACCAAAGAGAAAAGCTTAGGCTTGAGAATGCAGGCTGTGTGAGAGTGGCGGTGTTCCCCTCCCGTGCAGTCAGTCCGAGGCGGGGAGGAGTGGGGGAGAGTCCTGGCTCTCAGGCCTTGAAGACCCCTGACTAGGTCTGAGGTTCTGCAGGGCAGAGTGGGCAGGCTCACTCGCAGGCCGATGCCACAGACGTGACGCTAGTGATCTTAGTTGAGTCGTCAGACCATGGCTGCAGATTCTGCAGAGCGAAGAGCGACGAGTTGTGCACACACAGTGGGTCGGCGGGCAGCGGCTGCGCCAGGCTCTTCTGGAAGGCCTCCTGCTGCAGCTGCAGGAGGATACGGTTCGCCTGCTGCCTCTCGGCCTCTCGCTCCTCCGCAGTCTGCCGTCTGCACCAGGAACAAGCCATTACCTGCCAGGGCACGGACCCAGCTCCCACGAAAGCCCCAGCTCCCCCGTGCACTCCCAGGAGATAACTTGAGCGAGTACTGTTCCTCTTTGCAGCCCCCTACTCCAGTTCAGGCCCCTTTAATGCATTCCCTTCTCTTGAGGGTCTCGACTCTGATAAAGACTAGAAACCCCCAAAGTGAATGGAGCTGAGGTCTCCCGGAGGAGCAGTGGGAAAGTCTGTGATGCCCAAACAGCTGGGACTCCTCACCTATGCATAGCGCACACACTCCCGCCAGCCTCACAAGGCTCAGCCAGGAGCAGGATGGCATCTCACCTCTCCCCAGCCCGGAGGGAGACCAGGCACTGTCTCAAGCCTGAGGGGCCTCACCCTCCCCACAAGTACAGGGCAGAGAGGCAAGGGCCAGTGGATTCGATCTGCCTTATGGGACCTCTCTTCTCTCCTCCCTTCTCTCTGCGAACCTCACCCAGATCTTGGGCCTCCTGTGCGGAGCCCTGTGCCCAGGCCAGGCTCCCACCGGACCCACCGGCTTCCTCCCAGGCGGTCCAGGGAGGCAATGACTCACTTATTCCATTTAATGCTGCCCCTCCACTCTGTCAACTGAGATCAAACGTCTGTCTCTAAGGTGGACAGACCTAATGGGAGTCCCCGGGGCCTCCAGAAGCAATTTGTAGGCGATCGATGAAGCTGCGTGAAGCCTGCAATGGCCTCTTCCAGCCGCAGCCACCCCTTCTTGACTTTTGGTTCTGTGTATCTTTCTATCTCTCATCTTCCCCTTCTTTCCTGCATTTCAAACTGACTGAATGTTTCTTTTCCTTTATGCTTTGTTTTATCTCGTTTTCTCACATCCCCCACCCCCTTGGTTCTCTCCGAATTAAGGGAATTTGTTTGAAACGAAAATGGCGGTTTTAGTCGTCCCTTGCTTTTCTTTATGATTAATAAGACTTCTTCAGGCTGCCTGTTTTTCCTCCATTTTTCCCTCGACTGTGTGTCTTTGTCTTTCCCTTTGTGTTTCAGTTTCTTTAGCCACCGCTTTTTGTCTCTGTGTCCCCTCTCTCTGGGGGGCCTGCCTGGCTCCCTCCCCTCCACTCGGCCTCAGCCTCTCCTAGGCCTTGGTCACACCAGTGCCCCGAGCCCCAGCTAGTCCCTTATTCCCTCTTTCGCTTTCCAGAGGTCTGAAACCACGTCCCCCACCTCTTTCCCAGTGGCAGGAATGTTGGGGGGCGGTAGACTCCGGGGCCATGGATTCCTTTGTGGCCCCAAGGCGGAATCCCAGGCAGATTCCTCGCCTTCATTCAGAAAGAGAGGAAACTCCAATTCCTTCCTCCTGTCCCAAGGCCCGCCCGGCCCGGCGCCGCGCCGACTTCGCCCAGACTCCGGCTCTCCCCTACGCGGAATAAGCTAGGAGAAACTCCCGCGAGTGTGGAACCGAGTGTGCGGGCCACATGTGCGGGAGGGTGCAGGGGTGCGGAGGGTGCAGCCGGAGAAAGCGCTAGTGTGTGCGCAGAATAAGGCTGCTTAGGAGTGCGTGGGACGCTTCTTGTCGCTGAGGGTAAGGGGAGGGGAGAGCGGGAACGAGAGAAGTCGAGGTATATTCATGTGAAAAAAGTGCGTAGTTAACTAGTTTGGGCTATGTGACGGGAAGATGTCTGTTTTTCTCACACACACCCATCTGCTCCTAATTGATTCCCCTTTCACTGGGACCCGCGAAACCCCGCCGCAGCCGGCGCAGATTGATTTTCCCGTCGCAGGGTGGGGGACCGGCTGCGCAGAGGCCGGTGTCTGGGGAGGAGGCTCAGCCCGCGGCCGGGGGCCCCAGACGGTCTGCCGGGAGCCCGGCTGGAGCGCTGAAACAAGGCGCAGGACGTGTCGCCTCCAGTCCTCGGGACAGAGCACGAGCACGAGTCTGCGCAAACAAAAAGCTCCGAGTCTGGACTACATGGAGAGCTCTAACCCGCCTGTTTGTCCAAGCGGCGGCGACTAGCCGCGTCTACACGGGCACAGAGTGTGCTGGCCAGAAAGTCCTGAAGCCTCCGGTAAAACAGAGCCCATCTCTCCAGCCCCATCCCGGCTACCAGCCTCGGTTGCTTCCAGCTCCGGGCGAGCCTAGCAGGAGCCCGAGCCTCTGAAACGACCGGAAACCCGGCAGAGGAGCGGAGCGGAGGGAGCGTTGGGCCCCAAGAGGGGCCCCGAGCCGAGAGCTGCCCGAGCCTGGGCCCCGCGGCCCGCCCGCCCTGCTTGCTCACCTCCACTTTGTCCGCCGGTTCTGGAACCAGGTTTTGACCTGCGCGTCGGTCATTTTGAGCGCCTTGGCCAGGGCGGCACGCTCGGCCGAGGCCAGGTACTTCTGGCGGTGGAAGCGCTTCTCCAGCTCGCAGATCTGCAGGCGTGTGAAGGACGTGCGCGGCTTCTTCTTCTTGGGGGGCGTCCGGTTCTGATAGGGGTGACCTATACGGCGTGTTACAGTGAAGGGTGAGAGGGCCACTGGAGCGGGAGACAGACAGACGGCAGAGGCAAGCGGCAGAGCGTCAGGAGGCGTCCCAGGCCCAGCACCCCGCGAGTCAGCGAGCGCAGCGGCTGGACCCCGCAAGCAGGGCCGCGATCCTCGCGACAGCCCTCAACGCCAAGCCAGCGGCGGGAAACGGCCCCCTCCCTCCCGCCAGGCCGACGCCGCCCCTACCACTGAGGCCTCGGTAGCCCGGGGCTCAGAAGAGCCCAACTCTCCTGAGCCCAACTGCCTCCCGCTCCACCCCCCAGCCAGCGGCAGTCTAAGGCGAGCTAATGGTCCCAGCTCCCTCTGCCCCAGGCCTCCAGGCTCAGAGAAGCCGCCCAACAGTAACAGGACAAGTGTGTTCCAGGCCCCTGACTCTGGGTCCTGACTTGAGCCTCCATCGCACAACAGCACAGACAGACACATAGCATACAACAGGCACAAACTTATACATCTATACACCCAAACAGGCTGAAAGACTTAGACAAGCACAGGCACAAGCACAGGACACTGGGCAACACAGGGCCATAGCTACACACTCCCTCGGAGACTCTTTCATCCCTGAAACAGGAATAGGGCAGGCTGTGGCTCCACGAGGTAGGCCCTATGGTGATTACCTTTCACCAGAGACCCAGGACCAGTGGGATTCCTACTGGGCATTCTAGCAGAGTCCTTCAACACTGGCCTGGCCTAGGTGGGGAAGTGGGATGGGCACCAGGCCCTGCCTCTCCTGCCTAGAGAGAACTTGAGTTGAAGCACTGGGGCCCTGGGAGTGAGGGTGCTTCCTGAAGACCCAGAGCAAAGCGGCAGTTCTGCCTCTGACCCCACTTCTGCCATGGCCCCAGAGTTTGGTTAGAGGCTCCAGCAGCAGTTTCCCTGCCTGTGCTGCCTGGAACAGGAGCCAGGAGCCTCCTGGCCCAGTGTCTACCTCTCAGCTGCTTCTCCCACAGTGGCTACATGCACCCGTTATCCACTGTTGGGCACTGAGTCCCAGCCTGGAGTCCCAGTGTCGCCGGCAGCGGCCTGTGCCTCCTGTCTCCTGCCTCCTCTCTCTGAGGACCAGCCTCCTAGGGCGGGCTTCCCAGAGGCGTTTGGAACCCTGGCCTGGCCGGAGGATCAGGGTCTCAGATGGGGAAACGGAAAGCGGAGTAGGAAGTGAGGACTAGGAGAAGGGGCCCGCGGGTGAGCGGGAGCTGAGGAGCTGAGTGACCTGCTGAGAGCGGAAACGGTAGCAGAGGGAGCCAGGCAAGCGGAGGAAGGCACTGAGCAGACAACAGGGAAGGGCGGCAGCCTGCCACCACCTAGTGCTCAATCGGCCCGGGAATAGTCCTCCTGCCACTGCCACCGATCGATTGCTGGTGGCCAGTGCATTATTCACGCCAGAGATAACAGGGGTGGGCCTGGGGGAGGACGCCAAGCCCGGACAGAACAAATATTAAGAGCGAGCTGACCCGGGCGGCTCTGCCCTGCTCTGCCACCGACCTGGACGAAGCCTGCAGTCCGAAAACAGCGCCTGCCAGCTCTGCAGCTTTACCTGGGCTCCGGGCCTCTGCCAGGCCCGGCAGCACGGCAGGCACTGGAGCTCGGAGCGCGAAGTGCATGTGTGTGTAGGGGACCGCAGGTAGGGGAACCTGTTCTTGTGTTTGATTCTGGGGCTTGCTGCCTCAGTCAGAGAACAGCAACCCGTATGGAAGAAATAGTTTGTTCACACTGCACCCCTTTCTCCGAGATTTCTGAGCCCCAAATGCCCTTAGAAGGTAGTCCTGAATCTACAGCCCACTTCACTCTGCCTGACCCGACCCAGGGATCTCGAGGCGGGGCCAGGGAGAGTTTCTCTGAGCAGGGGTTCTACAGGAGAGACAGAGGGGTCCAGGTTGGGAGAACTCTTCAAGCATGGCGATTCTGCGATCACAGAATCGGGCAGACAGGTGAACTTGGGGAAAGCACCAAGAGGAGCTGGGCGACCTGGCGCTCAGAAGGGGTTGCAGGGAGCCACGGGCCGGCGAGGGTAACACGGAGCCCAGGCTGCGGCCAGACAGGGCGCGCGCAGGCCGGACTCACCTGTGAACCTGTCCTTTGTGTATCTGCGGTTACTCTCCATCCAGGGGAAGGTGAGGCCAGTGAGGTTGTTGACACCCGGCACGGCAGGCACAGAGGGCACGGTGGGCAAGCCAGTGGCCAGGGGCTGGGGGTGGGCCACGGCTCCGGCTAGCGGCCTGTGCGCCGGCACCCGGATCACCCCCGCGGCGCTCAGCGATCCCCCGCCACTGCTGCCGCCGCCCCCGCCGCCGCCAGGACCGGGGCCGCCCGCCAAGGCCATGTTCACGTTGTAGGAGCCGGCCAGTGGACCCATGCTGCAGGCGCCGCCGCCGCCAGCTGGGCCGCCCGGGCCGCCGGGGCCGCCTGGACCGCCAGCACCGTAGGCTCCCGCGCCCCCGGCCCCCGCCCCGGCCGCGGAGCTCCCGCCACCGTAAGTATAGGCGCCTCCGACCAAACAGCCAAGGCCGTATTCTCCGTCCTGGAGGCGCGAGGCAGGCCCCATGCAGCCGCCCTGATCCGGGCTGTTGAGGATCTGGTCGATGCCAAAGCTGATGGGCTCCGCGTGGCCCGGGTGGAGATGGTGGGGACCCAGGTGCTCCATGCTGGCCCCGGCCCCACGGGGGGGCCCGGGCGGCGCCGCTCGCTGTGCTTGGCTCGGGGGGCAGTGAGCAGGGTCGCGGAGGCAACAGCGGCTCCTGGCTGCGCGGAGACTTGGAGGCAAAGTGCGCAGAAGGGCTAAAGTAGGGGGGAGGGGAGGGAGAGAGGGGGCGTCGTTTTCTTCCCCTCCCCGGCTTCTCTTTCCCCTCTCCGGCTGCTCGCTCACTGTTGACTCTGGGACATCAATCACCGGGCGAAAAAGCCCGGTGCGAGCGAGCTTCGGCGTTTCGGCCCGGTCTCTCCATTGGCTGTGCGCGGAGAGCAGCGGGGTGAATGACAGCGCGGGGGAGAAAAGGGGAGGGAGAGAGGGAGACCAGGAGCCCAGACAGATGCAGGAGCCAGAGACAGAGGGACGGCGACCAAGCCTTGGAGTAGTTCATGAAGAGAGAGAAGACGGGAAACAAGAGGCTTAAAAGGAAAAAGAAAAGAAACAGGAACCAGCCATTCCCAGAGATGGACAGACCCTAGGAGGGGGAAGTCAGAGCCCTCTTCCCCGCCTGGCAGGAGCCACCCCCTCACTTTGAATTGGGCCAAAAGAGTCCAGCCCACCAGGCTTCTGGGGAAGGGGTGTCCCTGCCCAACTGGAGAATCTCCCCAAGGGCTCAGCTGGGAAACACCTGTCACTCAACCAAGCGATTTACTCCAAACTTCAAGTCCAGCTTGTTAGAAAGTAGAAGACTGTCTACTCCCCAGGTATGGAGCTCAGGGCCCGAGGCAGGACGGTGAGTTCAGGCTTGTCCTTTAAAACGCAGGCCTATGAACAACTAGCTATATGTTGTTTTTATAAAAATCAACAAGCGCCCCGACTCAGCCTCTTTAGAGAAATTCATGAAGGGAAGGCTTCCTGAAAGACAGGCACAAATCAGGGGAGTTGGTTTGGGGCCTGCTGCCAGGGTGCCGGTGCCTCAAGATACCCCTTTCCTTTTAAATAAACAGAGCCTCAAGAAGCAATTCCTACAGTGTTTGAATGAATTCAGCTAGATTGCCTTCTACCTTGCAACTAGCCCAGGGCTGGCTCTTCCAGGCAAGGAGCCTCCGGACTGTGGTGAGGGGAAGGAGTTATTTTGTTACTTTTGGAATCTTGGGAGGGAGGCCTAACGGCACTGGGGGCTGGGGCTGGTGGGACTAAGATCAGGGAAGTGTATCCAGGACAAATTTAGGCCTTTTCAAAGTTTTGCCTGTGGCTGCCTGGCTGAGAGCCCAAGAGAGCTCCGGCTTTCTGCTTCCTCTTTTCCCTCTCCAGTAAGGAAAGGTCTACTCCCTCCTAGGAGTCAAGCTCTGGGAAAGGCACAGGTTCCACCACTTGGGATCTGTAGAAATATAGGTCTATTTCAGGTCACTTTCAGATTCAACCTGCAGGGAGGACCTATTCCTATCAGGCAAGATGCTAGAATGTGAAGGTTCACGCTCTACTCATCAAGTCTTGTTGTAATCTATTTGCTTTGGCCAACACCAACACTTTCAGATGAGCATTATTCCTATTTTACAGATGTGAGGAAACCAAATTTCAGAGAGGTTATGGTTGGTATAGGTCAAGAGGAGGAACTAGATTTGACTTCCTTTTGAGGGTTAGCCTGGAAACCCGGCTGCTGGCTAGAAGCTCATATGGATGGGGGAAAACCTTGTCTAAGCTCCAGCCAAGGGGACAAAGGCCCACTCAAGACAAAGCCAGATGTGAAGTTCGCAGTTGTTTCCAAACATCAAGAGAGAGCCCCACTCCTTGCCAGTGCTCTCCTCCACACCCACCCCATTCAGGTACTACACCCTGCCCAGGAGGGTGAATGAAACCTCCATTCCTCACTTTGGAAGTTGTTTGAACCTAAATGAATCTTTTTCCTGCCTCTTATCTTGAGGGAACTAAATCAGAAATAAACATAAATGTTTATAGAAAAACTACTTTGTGCCAGGTACCACAACTCACTTATCACAGCAACCCAGAGAAGGTAATAGAAATGTCCCATTTTTTTTATAACTAAGAAAATTGAATGAATGTTCATGGCAGTTTTATTCATAATAGCCCCAAGGGGGAAACAACTCAAATGTCCATCAACCGATGAATGCATAAACCAGATGTAGTATATTTATACAATGAAATATTATTCAGCCATAAAAAGGAATTAAGGAAGCGCCAGTTCATGCTACAACATGGATGGGCCTAGGAAACTATTATGCTATGTGAAAGAAGCCAGGCACAGAGGTCACATATTGTGTGATTCCATTTATATGAAACGTCCCAAATAGGCAAATCCATAGGGGCAGAGAGTAGATTAGTGGTTGCCAGGGGCTGGGGATGGGGGGAATGGGAACTGACTGCCAAGAGATATGAAATTTCTTTTAGGGTGATGAAAATATTCTAGAATTAGACAGTGGTGATGGTTGCACAACTTTGTGAAAATACTAAAAACTATGGAATTGTACATTTTAAAGGAGTGAATATTATGGTATGTGAATTATGTCTTATTTTTAAAAAGAAAAAAATTAGAATTGAGACTTACTGAAGAGGGCAAACTTGCCCAAAGTCCTGTAGACAGAGAAGACTAATCTGGAATCCCAAAACCTGAACTGTTTTCCCTGTATGAGGCTGAAAACTACAGGGAGGGGCGCTGCAGCTTCCTTCGAGGCTGGATCCTAGTGGCCTTGCTCCTTGTAGTCTAACCACAGTTCTGCGTGCTGCAGTTAAAACCCTATCTTTCTAGGTAATCCTCAGAACAACTTCTCTTTGCCACTTTCTGGCCCATACAGAAAACCACTTGAGTATTCCTAATGCTGGCCCCCTTCCTCCTCCAGGTGCATATTTACAGCTCCTATGGCTCCCAGTCCTGCCTGTTCCAATCCTGTTGTCGTCTTCCCAACCCTCATCTTGAACTCCTTAGATGTGGCACCAGTTGTCCAGGGTATCTGAGAAGAGACTTCACCCTTGCTGTCCCGGCCTAAGGTTGGCAGAAGTCACAACTGACTAGTGGCCCACTGAGACTGTCAAGATCTTCTTGTTAAATTTCAGCAAGCCTTTGCCCTCGCCACTGCTTGCCTGACTGGTTTCTTCTTTACTTTTCTGCCACCTTTCTTGCTTATCAGAGTCAACTTTGATCCCAATTCAATTCTGAGGTGCTGGGGTTCTGTGAGTCTGCTTGACCTCAGCCTTTGTCTTCCAATAGGGTAGTGGATGAGGGGCAGGGCTACCCTCTAAGTCCCTTCCTTTCCTGGAAAGATGAGACCAGAGGGGCAGGATTTGTTGGGCTCTGGCCCGCACCCCTTCTCCTGGAAGTGGTGTTACCTGAGCACAGTGCTGCAGAGAGGGAAGTTTTCAGAAACAGGGAGAAGACTCACACAGAGCTTATATTTGGTTTCCACAGCGCTTTTGCATTGCACAGCAGCCCTGTTAGGAAGGAGGAGGCAGGGAAAGAAAGCAGGACTCACAAAGCACCTGCCATGTCCTAGGCACCTTTACTCACAGCAATGATCTCTCCTCTCATCCTCCAATAATCCTGGGATGCGGATTTTGTTATCTCCATTTTACAGATGAGAAAACTGAGGCACTGAAAGCTGGAAAAGGGCAGAGACTAGACTTAAATGCTGCTTTTCTGACTCTGTTCATTACAGGCTGCTTCCTTAACCCTAAACTTGGCTCTTGCCTTGCAGCAGCACCTTGCATGAGCCTAGGTGAGTTGCAGACCCTTCTGCCCAGTCCTGAGGCCACCTGGTAATACCCCTCCCCCAAGCACCATCTCCCCCTCACCCACAGAATAAAGAAGAGCCTCCAATTAAAAGAAGAGCAGCTGCGGCTGGGGCAGGGGGAGGAGGAAAGGAAAGGCTGGGCCCAGAGGGAGGCCCCTTTGGATCCCACATGATCCCCTTCCCCCTGTGGGACAGACCCCCGGGCCAGGGGCTGTCCTTTAGCTTAGGGGTATGTGTGGAAACTTAATTACTTTGTGTTTGTGGGACTGTGTGTGCACTAGGGGAGAGCCAGATGTGAACGCCTGCGTGACAGTGCGGGTTGAGAGGGCTGTGCAGATGTCCTGGGCATGTCTTTAAGAAATAATTTTTTTTTTCTTTTTTCTCTCCCCTGCCCGCCCAAGAAATAATTTTTAAAATTTATTCAATGAATATTTATTGAGTGTCTAGTGCGTATCAGGTACTGTGTTAGGCTGTTAGAATACAACTGCAAGCAAAACACGTGTCAGTAAGAGTATTGGCAGAGAAGAAGGGAGTCTGGGTGTTTTTTGCAACTGGATTTGTCATGGGAGGATATGTGTTAGTAAGAATGAATGCGAATGTGTGTTTTTGTAACAGGACGAGTGTGTGTCCACAACTATTCCTCTGTAATAAGCACATGTGATGGGGCAAGGTGTCCCTCTGCTACTTCGTGCAATAATGTGTGGCCGATGGGATGGTGCGTGTATACCTGTGGGAGGTGTGTCTTATATTCTAATGTGGTTGTCAGGGAAATGGCCACATGTGGGCCTGTGGGTGTGGGGAGGGGGAGACGGGGCATGCCCAGTGGGTACGTAGCAGAGAAAGGTGGAAGGGCTGAGAAATACGGAGGAGGATGTGTATCATGAAATGGTCCACGGTGGGGCCAACGGGGTCTACAGTCCCAATACCAAAGGTGTCTGCCCTGCCTCGCCCACCTGTCTCAGTAAAAGGACAGAAAACTTTCCCTGCCATGGGGGAGGCAGGAGCAGCTGGTGACTTAGGGTCGTAAAGACCCAGTAAAGGGCACTCTAACCCTAGGGAGCCCTAGGGTAGGAGAGTCTCTGGGAGTCTAGGCTGGGGAAGGAGGGAGGGAGCAGGTCAGGCTGTTCCAGCCACACAACTCAATGATTCCTCAGGGCTGGGGGTGGGGGGTGTTCCAGAGCCAGCCTCATGTGCCCCAACCCAATCCTCCAGTAAGACACTGAGGACCTCTCCAACATGGAAATACAGGTACACATTTTCCCATCAGTGGGGGGACCCTGAATGGGTAGAGGACAGAGGGATAGACACTTCCCTACTGTAGGCCATGCCTCAGCTGTCATCTGGTGTGAGGGCCAAGTAACTTTCTCCTCCTCCCACCCCACCTCCCACCTTCCCCTTAGCCCCATCAAAGCCCAGCAGGTGGATGCTTTGGAAATGGGGTCCTTCTCTGTGCATGTAGGGGGCACAGAAGATCTCCCCTCCCCGCTTGGCTTCTGATCCTAAAGGAAGCTCTTGGCCCCATCACCCCTCTGCATTGAGCTAGGGCC